AGTGTGTGTGTACACACACCTTAGTTTTTAAACTGACATTTTTGCTCTTTAATACTTTAAAGAACTCCATGCAATATATTTTTTGATTTCTTGACTCAAACTTAACCTCTTTTGTGTGTCCAGCAGTGTCTTTATTTCTGCATCAAATTTGAAGGATGATTTTGTCAGGTATGGAATTCTTAGTTGATGGTGGTTTTCTTTTTCCCTCCCCTTCAGGATTCTTGATATGTCTTCATACTGTCTTCTCTTCTGGGTTTTTAGTGAGATAGCAGTTACTAATCTGATCAGGGATCCATTTCATGGGAAGAGTGCTCATTTCCTGCTGGTTTTAAGATTTATTTTTTTTTTCTTTTCCATTTTATGATGACTTATACCTTGTACAGGTGTTACACCCTTGAGTTTATTCTGCTTGGAGTTGATAGGCGTCACAGAGACATTTTTCAGCCATAATGATAATTATTCTGTTTCTTTCTCTCTTCTTCTGGAGCACCCATAATATGTTTGTGGCGTTTTTTAAAACCACTCTAGTAGCTTTTACATTTCAGGTAATATACTTCTCATTGTCAGAATTTGTACTTGGTTCATTTTTTAGGATTTCTATCTTCATTAGTATGACTAAGTCCATTTTTAATTTTCATAAATAATTATTATTTCTAGATCATTCTCTGTATTTCTTATAAAAGAAATTCCTTGTCATTTCCTTCTCCTCTTCTTGTTATGTGCCATCAAGAGGACTACAACCCATAGCGACCCTATATAAAAACTGAACCCTGCTGTGTCTTGAGCCAGTCTCACTGTCCAACAGACCTGCCCCCAGTGCCATAGTTACTTTGTCAGTCCATCTCATTTAGGGTCTTCCTCTCCTGCACTGTCCCTCCACCCTGCCAGCATTATGTCCTATTTCCAAGGACTAGTCCTTCTTGGCATCATGCCCAAAGTAAAATGAGACAGAGTTTAAAAATCCATTCCTCTAAGGAGCAGCTTGGTTTCACCCTCTCAGGGACAGACCTTTTAGTTCTCTTGGCAGTCCATGTTATGTTCAGTGCTCTTCTTCTGCACCACAACTCAAAGGCTTCGATTCTTTTTCTGTCACTCTTAGTTATTGTCCAGTTCTCTGATGTATAACAAATTATTACAAAGATAAAGTGCAGCTTGGATAATGTTGTTCTTGTTGTTATGTGCCGTCGACTCGTTTCCGACTTACAGCGACCCTATGCACAACAGCCCTAAACCCTGCTCTATCCTGCGCCAACCGCACCGCCTCTGACACACCCATCCCGATTACCCCAGTCACCCTATCAATCCATCTCATAGAGGGTCTTCCCCTCCTGTGCTGTCCCTCCACCCTCCCAAGCATGATGTCCCTCTCCAAGGACCCGTCCCTCCTGGCAAC